CTTTGCCTTGGGAGAAAACAAATCTAAGAAAAAAAAATGGTGTGGGTTTTACTTTAATAACAATCTTCACTCATTAACTGCTAGTAGTAAAATCGGAAAGAATTCAATAGTATTTTATTGCAAAACATATTCCAATAACCTTTGTTTTATTTACAATTTTTTCAGAAATCATTCTTTACAGTGTAGGTGTCACGGATGCTGCTACTGTGTGGGAACGAGGAGCGTGGAGACGACGGAGTTTAACAACGAACAGTCTTTATTCATCCAAACAGAAGGAAACACAGGGGAGCCAGGAGACACACACGTAGCATGAGGAATAGACGTTTAACACCGAACGAAGGACACAGGAAAACACAGGGCTTAAGTAACAGGAACTCAACGAGGTAATTAATAAGACACACCTGAACCAAATGGACACAATCAAACACGAGAGAAACTGGGTCACAGGGAGAACATGGGGAGCAAAACACAAGACAGGAACACAGGGGCAGCCCATGATAGCGAAAAGTGCTACCTATCAGATTTTGCTTCCAGCATGATATAAGGTGTGAGGCATTATTAACATGTACACCTACGCCAACCCTAAACCTACCCTTGCAGTAGGATAAATACAGAGTTGGTAGCATAATCTGATAGGTAGCATTATTTGTCAGAACACTGGCTGACTTGATGATGGAGCGGCCGGCTGACTTGACTGCGTAGCGGTTCTGGACCGGGGCCGGACACTCTCCAGACACCGGAGGATCCCTTCCCTCCAGCATAGTCCAGTAGGGTCTGGGAGGTCGACGGGGCAATGGTAGTTGGCCCTGATCCAGAACAAAGAATTCAGTGTGGCGCCGTCCAATGCCGTCAAGATGGCGAGCCCACAGAATTCCCTGACATACTCCACAAAAAGAAGTATTACGGGCTAAGGCAGCGAATCTCGCAGAGGTTTCCATAATCACAGAAAAAAAAAACGTTCAGAAACGGAAACAAAAATGGGGGGAAGGGGCGCCGCTTACAGTTTGATAAGGTCTGGTGTTCTGTCACGGCTGCTGCTACTGTGTGGGAACAAGGAAAACAGAAGGAAACACAGGGGAGCCAGGAGACACACACGTAGCACGAGGAATAGATGTGTAACACCGAACGAAGGACACAGGAAAACACAGGGTTTAAGTAACAGGAACTCAACGAGGTAATTACTAAGACACACCTAAACCAAATGGACACAATCAAACACGGGAGAAACTGAGTAACAGGGAGAACATGGGGAGTAAAACACAAGGCAGGAACAAAGGGGCAGTCCATGGGCATGACAGTAGGTGAAACAACTGAGATATCAGAAAGATCTCATTTCCAAATCAACTTCATAAAACATTTCAAATGAGCATTAAATGTGATAAGTGTTAGTGTTTTTTTTCTAGTAGAGAAAGCGAGAAGGGCTAATTCATACCTGCTGTGATGAGCTGCTTTCAGTGGCGTTTCTCTCATGTCCGAGGGGCTCTTCTATCAGTGCAGTCTGTCCACACCTTGTGCACTATCTTCCCCTTTATTAGACTGATAAGACATTACCTGATCAAGGTCAAGGTGTGCACAATCTGTTCTCTACTCTACACAGAGACCCGAAATAGCGTATAATGAGTTTGTGGGAAAACAAACAATGTTAAAACAGTTAATGAGTTCAGTCACATTTATTAATCACTTATCAAATCACATTGAGGTTTACAGCAGATTATTAACTTCAACGTCATCTCATAGACATCAGTAATAAATTGGGTTGAATGACCGTTGGGTTGTTAGTTCATTAGGTTGGTCTTGCAATATTGAGTATGATGATAGAGAGTCTAACAGACGGATCCTTATTAATTTATCTTTTTTTTTTTTTGAGGTCTATAATTTACCATTTGTGTCATAATAATAACGAGTCATAGTTATTTTGAATAATGTTCCCCCTTATTTACACTGTAAAAATTATTATCATTTTTTTTTTGGAAGCTGTAAATAAAACAATGATTATTGGAGTATGTTTTCTAAGAAAATACTTTGTTACTTGCCATTACTTTGTAATTGTTTATCAAATTTACTCACAATTTCTGAGTGAAAATTGTTTCTAAACCAAATTTTTCCAGTGTACTAATGCATTTAGACTGATTTAATAAACGCATCATGTATGAAGGGGTATACAAATCAATTAAGTCTCTTTCCACTTTTCCTTTACCCAGATCCTTAGACAGCTCACCCTCAGCCACGGTGCAGGGGGCGGAGCTCCTCTCCGCGCTCTCAGTGTCCATGACGCTCTCCCCAGTGGCGAGCTCTGTAGTCGGCTCTCGCACCTGGTCTGACATCACAGGCTCGGGCTCCGGGGCGATCCTCAGCACTATCACTCTCTCTGGCGATGGCTCGTCGGTCGCGGCGGGCGATGGCTCTCCGTCAGCGGTGGGCTCGGGCTTAAGCTCCAGCGGGGGGATGGTGGGCTGGGCTCTGGGTCTGGCTGTGTTCTGGATAGGGGGTAGATGCTCTCCAGACACCGGATGATAGCCTCCCTCCAGCACAGTCCGGTGGTGTCTGGGAGGTCGACGGGGCAGTAGTAGTTGACCCCGATCCAGAACCGGGAGTTCAGCGCAGCGTCGTCAAACGCCGTTAAAACGGCGAGCTGACTGAACTCCACAGCATACTCCAAGAGGGAAAGGTCCTTGCGGGAGAGGGAGGTAAACTTGACGGCGAGGGAATCCATGGGGAAGGAAACACTACGGAAACAAAAAACACTGAATGGAAAACGGAAAACAAACGGAGAGGAGACAGGTAGTTAAACGGTCTTGGTGGGATCTTCTGTCACGATACGCTGCCGGAAGGAACGAAGGAGCCGTGGATCAACTAAACTGTCTTTTCTTCAATCCAACACACAGGGTAAATCCACACTTGGAAGGGAAGGAAGACACACGTAAATAACTGGTAGACCCGACAAAGAAGGAATGCACAGACTGGAACTAAATGCATGACTTAATGAGGCAATTGGGAGGAACACAGGTGAACAGAATGACTAATTAAGAGACAACGAGGACAGGAACAGGAACGACCAAATAAGGGCACATGAGGGAGAAACTGGGTCACGGGGAGCACACGGGGAGCAAAACACAACAAAGACAGTCCAATCCTGACACCTATGTCAATCCTTATCAAAACAGTACATTTTCAAAACCTCTGAAAGATCTGAAAATACATATATCATAAGGACTAATCTTAAATTAAAAATTAGATTTTCGTGCACAACTGATCAAGAGAAACATAGATAAGTAGAGTAATAAAAAAGTAATAGAAACACCAGTGTACTAATATTGACATCTGGCGGCCAAAAAAACGAATCACAAATGAAAAACAAAAATTGCATTTTTCAGGCCTTAAAACCATGTTAAGCAACAAATATGGCATGCATGCATTTGTCAGCTAATTACAGTCTTACAAAAGCATGCAAAACACGCATAGGTTTTATTTATTTGGAAACATATATTTTATATATTGGACACTAATATTGGTGAGACAAAATTTTACATAAGTTAACAAAAGAATGAAATGCTGTTCAAAAAAACACGCTCTCACAGGTGCCATCATCTGTGAAAGTGTGTATAATTAGGTCAGTGACCGAACAGTGAATAACTGCACTGTATTTTTTGACCTGTGATAAATCACTTAGCACTTATTAATCAGTTTTACTGTTAAAATGATAAAGGTTGGTGTCGTTGTTTGTAATAATCTGCCATAAAGTTGCATCTTGCAACTTTTGTCATTTGTACATCACGTATAAATCCTTGACTTTAAGATATTTACATGATAATGGATTTTAGTGGATGTAAAAGGCATTCTGGTAACACTTTACAATAAAGTCCCATTAGTTAACGTAAGTAACAATGAGCAATAAATTGGTTAATAATCTTTGTTAACTTTAGTTAATAAAAATACAACTCAAAGGCCTGAATTCTTAGACTGGCAATACAAGTCTTGATGTTTATACATCTAGAAAGCGACTGACTAGAAAGTTACCTGTTCATATACAGAATTGGATCCGTTCCTGTTGGCAGGTATATTTTTGGGTTGTCAGTCTCAAACACAGACTGTATGTATCCTATGCATCTCATCTGCGTCTCAGTCCCAGCTCACAGTTCTAGTTGAATCGTTGAAGTCCTTTTGTATATCTGCCTCTGTTAAATGAACTATTTGAATGCGCCTCAAGGACTTGTGCAGCAGCCCTGAGCCGTTACAGCCGCAGGGTTCACAAAAAACAAGTGATTCCTGCTCCGTACAGATACACAGTTTCAAAGAAGTCTGAGGTCGCTTCCTGTGTTCAGGAATGTACTGTTTATAGATTCACAAACACAGGAAACTGTTTGATCTGTTTCTAGAAACAGATCCCAGGACCAGTTGCTATTGTTATCTAAAGGTAAAACGATTAAAAAATATTAAATGAATTATGAATTAATAAAATATTTAAATTATAAATTATAAAATATATTAAAGCTATATATAAAAACGAATAAAAATTTGTTAAACTAAAATTACAATAAAAATCGAAAATTTTAATATGAAAAGCTAATTCAAAATATTAATAAATACTACAATAAAAAATAAATAATACTACATTATCCCATCTTAGGACTGGAAAAACTTTAAAGAAATTGTTTTTTTTCTATAGACCTGTACTGATGGATGGTAAAGTTGTTGGTATACTTTAGATGTTTTTTTCTATGCATAAAATAATACTATAAAAACTCCAGACACATCTGATTTACAAAAGTCTTCACCGGTTGGTATTTCTTATATATATATACATAATATTTTATAGGTTTGAAAAAATAGAAAATTCAAAGCTTCTTTGCAATTGCAAGAAAATTGTTGGATAAATTTATCTCTGGTGTTTTAACTGACCTTCACATTTCCTACCAGCTGCCAATTAGTGTGGAATCTCAATGCGTCTGAAAGGGAACTGTCCTTTCTGATCACCCAGCGCCCCCTGCAGGAGCAACACGGCACAGTTATTACATAATAGCAGACACTTCAGTAACCCGTGTCAGATGCACGCAAAGCCGAAAGGAAGAACAAACACCCAAACTACTGAGACGACTTACTAGTTTCTAGAAAGAGATATCTTAGAAAGCTGACTTCTAAAGCAAGGGTAAGTAGTCTATATGGCTGGTTTGTAGAGTCAATTTTGCAGAAAGGTTCAAGTGAACAAATTCCTGTTTTTGGTAAATGCATGTTGTTTGCAAAAGAGTTTTGTCAGAACATGTTCGAGTAGGCCTACTGATCACGCGTTGTCTTTTAATGGCATTTCAACGTTGTAACAACTTGGTTTCTTTCTCTTATTCGTTCCAAGTTTGCAACAGTACAGTGTAAAAGTTCACTATTGTTGACATCGAGTTAATTTACACGCCCCATTTACTAAAGTGAAGTCCGACCGACTCTTTTCCTGGAGTCGGTTCTTTCAAACAGGTCATTTTGACAGAACCGGTTCAAAACTGATTCCGCGGCTCTTTCACTTCGAACACAATCACGTGATCTCAAAGTAATGAATTAAAAAGTATCTTTGATACTACGATATTAGTAGATTTAACGCGTTGTCTTTTAATGGCATTTCAACGTTGTAACAACTTGGTTTCTTTCTCTTATTCGTTCCAAGTTTGCAACAGTACAGTGTAAAAGTTCACTATTGTTGACATCGAGTTAATTTACACGCCCCATTTACTAAAGTGAAGTCCGACCGACTCTTTTCCGGGAGTCGGTTCTTTCAAACAGGTCATTTTGACAGAACCGGTTCAAAACTGATTCCGCGGCTCTTTCACTTCGAACGCAATCACGTGATCTCAAAGTAATGAATTAAAAAGTATCTTTGATACTACGATATTAGTAGATTTATTTGCAATTTATTGTGTGCCAGTTTAATTGGTTGCAGCCGTGATTCCACTAATAAGTGCACGCACATCTCTCGAATAAACATTTTTGCACGTTATAATTAAATTAAATTTTATAAAACCAACTGTAGGCCTATGCGTGTTGATAAAACTATCAAACAATCAAGTTGCAAACATTTCAGTATGTTTTATTTGCGAGATTTTACTTACTTTCCGTCAAATCAGTCGCATCTTTGATTCATCCCAAATGCTTTTAGTAGCCTATTCAAAATCAAAGCTGACAATTGTTTTACAGTGTTACAAATTTCCACCAGTTCACTCGCTGCTTCTTGGCTCATTTCGAATAGGTTATTCTTCTTCTTCTTTAAATTTTATTGGCGGTTGGCAAACCAACTTAAAGGTAAGAGTAGGTTATTATGTTCGAAATAAAAGGTTGAATGAATTGTTGACTCCGCGGCGACCGATTCAGGCCGATTCGTCAACGAATCCTTTACATCGGCTTGTGTGATCCGGTTCAACTGATTCTTTGACGAGATCCAATTCAAACGAATAATTCGTTCACGATTCGAACCGTGGCTTCCATGTGTTTCACAATCATACAGCAACAACAAATCAACATTTACTTGCACAGTTATCAAATATGAATAGATAAAGAAACAGACAAACTTATAATTAGTCCTTTATTTATCATATATTGGTATTTATCTTTATTTTAAATGTGTCTTTTGATTTTTCTTGCTTTTCTACAAAATCTCTCTTACTTTCTGATCTACAATCATAAGCCAAAAAGTTAATGGTTCACTAGGTCATGTACTTTGAGTAGAGCTTTGACCACATGCGCTCTCTTTCATATCTTTGGGGGGTTTGCATGAATCTGGATCCACTTTGCTTATAAAAACAAATATATTTTCTTTTGCAGAAATGTTCCTGTACATTGTAGGTCTCACAGTCTTCTTCTATGTCTATCGGTGGTTCAGAGAACTGGGACAAGTTCCCAATAAATCGGAGAAGTTTGTGTACATCACAGGCTGTGACACGGGGTTTGGGAATCTCTTGGCCAAACACCTGGACACAAAGGGTTTCCGTGTCGTCGCTGGCTGCTACACGGAGAAGGGAGAAGTTGAGCTGAAGAAGTGCTGCTCTGACAAACTCACAACGCTGCATTTGGATGTGATTGATAATTCTAGCATCAAAAAAGCTGCAGAAACCATTAAAACCCTGGTGGGAGAGAGAGGTAGGTCACAGAAAGACCTTGAAGACTGGAGTAATTCAGCTTTGCATCACAGGAATAAACTACAAATAGAAAAGATCTATTTTTGATTATAATAATAATCCACAATATTACTGTTTTTATTGTATTTTTGAGCACATAAATGCAGCCTTGGTGAGTAGAAGAGACATCATTAAAATGTTAAGAAATTAAGAATGCATTTAATATTTAATTCCTGATCTTAAATGGATGCATTTAAAATTTAATGCAAGATTTTACTTTAAAAGTAAAATTAAAATTCAAAGAAATTCATTTAACACATTTGATCATAATTGCATGTTTTCATATTCACAATGCATGGGGTAATGCACAATATATACACACATACATAATATGCATTTCCAGAAAAATTTATTTGAAATGTTATCTATACAAAATTGATTTAATTTTTAATTTTAATGTATTTAAATGTATTATATTTAATTAATAAAATTTCCTTTTATGGACAATGGTGAAATAAAGCATAATTTAAGTCTGATTATTTGTCAATTAATTTTAGTTTAGTTCTCTCAATAAAAAAATAACAAAATATATATATATTAAATGTCAGGAATAATTAGTAAAAATAAATGCTTTAATGAATTATTTATGTTCTTGTTGTTGGAATAATGAAATTCCTAATATTATCCTTATTATCCTTCTCATATCCTTCTTTAATGAAGTTGTTGGTCGAGTAGTTCCTTCACATGATTCTCACATGACACTTCCTGTGTATTTTGCAATTTCCTGTGATGAAAGAAAACTGAGTTGGGTGAAAGGTTTTACTGAGTTGGGTGTGTTTGCAGGTCTGTGGGCCGTGGTCAACAACGCTGGGGTCTCCTTCCCAACTGCTCCCAGTGACTGGCTGGAAATTGAGGACTTCAAACAAATGATCAATGTCAATCTGATCGGGGTTGTTGCCATCACTCTGAGCGTGTTACCGCTCATTAAGAAGGCCAAGGGCAGAGTGGTCAATGTGGCCAGTGTGTTTGGAAGGATTAGTACTGTGGGAGGAGCGTACTGCATTACTAAGTATGGAGTAGAGGCTTTTAATGACGGTCTGAGGTCAGTATGTCCAGTAACCACTTCTTTTTTGAATATGGAGACTTTCCTGACACAAACTGGTCAAAGAAATTCAAATTCAATGCATTTCTCACATACAAGCCAATATAGTATTTGGGTGTGGCATATGCATTAATCAGCATATATTTTATGAATGCAAAGTCCAAACAAAATGAAACCATGTGCAATTAATCATCATGATAACACGGCAACCATTCAGTCGAGTACATTTTAATTAGGCAAGCATTTGGTCTGCTGCAAATGCTAACATATTCTAAAAATATCTGATTAGTCAGCACAAAGGAATGCAGCAGCTGATAACTTAAACTGTGAATGACCAATCATAATGAAAGTTTGAATATATGTCCAGAGTGTCTGCAAGAGGCTGTGTAGAGAACTGACCAAAAGGTGCCGCTATAATGAGTATTTTTACACTTTTTATTTTTTTTTGTATCTGGAATTATGCAGACTAGGATCTTAGTTCCTCTTTCCCCTGAATACTTGTGTTTCTAGAGATATATGTAGACAATTTTCCTGTATATTAAGAGTGCAATACGTCCAAACACATGGCAACAAGACAATCTTAAAACACATGTAAAATCTCATTTACTATATTTAATATAGTTCTAAAAATCGTTCTCAATATTAAAGAATAGCAGAGTCCACACCACAACTATAACGATAAAGACAAAGAGAAACGATATCGTTGGAATCACTTTCAAAATGATTTTTCTCCAGCTGATGAACGATAAAAAATTGACAGCCAATCAGAATCCATCCGGCTGTAACGAGCTCGAGAATTCCTAATTTCGTTGTATACAGAAAAATACAATGACAATAAAGGCGTTCAATTCAATTCAATTCAATTCAATTTAAAGCGGCAGACGCATGTGCGTTTAGAATAAACAGACGATATCGTTCGGTGGTGTGGATGCTAATATCGTTATCTTTATAGTTATCGTTCTTGGTGTGAACGGGGCTTTATAGTATTTATTGATATTTTGAATTAGCTTTTATTTTTATATTTTCAGTTTCGCCCATAAGTTTAAGCAATTTTGTTATGTTGTTTTTGTGATTGTTTTTAATATTCTTATTTCAGTAATCTTGAACTTAAACTTATTACATCTTGTTGCCAACATTTCAAATTTTCAGTGATCAATATATTTTCAGTATATTTCATCGAAAAAACATAAATATAGTGCTGTCAAACGATTAATCGCGATTAATCGCATCCCAAATAAAAGTTTTTGTTTACACAATATATGTTTGTGTACTGTGCACATTTATTATGTATATATAAAAGCACACACATATAAGCACAGTGTATATTTTGAAAATATTTACATGTATATACATTTATATTATTATATTTTATATTATATATAAAT